AATTTTCAATAGTGCCATGTAGAAAAACAGGTGGACGGCGTCAATGATTCCAGCAGGCTGGCTAATCTAAATTCGGAAAAAGACAAACTGTATATTGAACTGTAGATAGATGAATATCACCGAAACTAGAATATTTTACAAACGTTGAAAAAAAAATTTTAATGATTTTAAAACTTCAAACCCAAAATTTCATGATTTTTGCGGCTTAATAAATACGGTTCAATAAAGTCCAAGTTCGAACGATAGACACATTCTATGAACGTTCTACATTGGATTTATGTAGAAACAAAATCGACTTTTTGAAAGCGTCACACGGTATGACTTCCATAAGGAATGCATCTAAGATCGCTTTSGGAAAGGAAAATATTGCAAATGATATTTGGCAACTTCACTATACTTATTTTCCMGTAGTTTCTAGGTGGAGCATAGGGCCTCAATAAACCAATTATAATGCATTTTATTTACAGCTATACATTTMATTTCTCTCCAAGAATAACCACTTCTCTGTGCTTCTGCTTCGACTTCCCGTCTCCARGTGTTGGCTGGTCTACTACCTACTTCACTAACTAGTGTGAAATTTTCAAAAAATCGATTTTGTTTTTACAATAATAAATTTTTCGTATTTCGATAGTTTATACCTTTAAAAATAACTTACCAAAATTTCAAATCGATATCTGGAACAGTTTTTGGGTTACAGCCATTTAAAAGAGTAGACGCTCGGCAGTTAGATAACAATCACTTTATCTTTAAACACGTTTTTCTCGAAACAGCATTTTTTCGAATTTGCTGGAGTGATTACACGGAGACAAATGCATCTTCTCTATACAGTTCTCCATGTGATGACCCTCCACTTTTGATCCCAAAAAATGCCTTTTTTTRGCGCTGTCACACCAAGTCTCACTAAATCGCTTAAAAATAGTCAAATAATGATATCCTTAACGGGTTGTTATAGTTTCCCCCAAAGGTTGTCCAGAAGGAAACATCGATTAACCTATAAGGTATTTATACCAAT